CAGAAATAGCCATTATCCCTTTGAAATGCTCTTGCCCTGGACATCTTTGTTCTGCTTTTCATTACATAGTTACATTTGCTATTGTTTTAGGTTAAAAGGAAGCACATTCTAGTGCCAAATGATAACATTTGCACTTTTTTTGTCCCTAGCACTTCACAAACAATATGCCCAGTAGCTCAGGCACCCCAGGCATGACATACAGATCAAAAAAAGGTATAGGAGCTCGACTATCTACCACTTAGCAGTAGGGAGCTCAACCATCCTACTACCAAGCTAGTTCAGGTCCCAGACATCCCTCTGTGTAACTGCAGTTTGTGTTGAGCCAAATAACCAAGAACTGTACTGTCCTTCCTAGATAAAGCATTCCCCAAAACTTTCAGTATCTTGTATGTGGTCTTTTCTGTTAACCTGGGACTCGGTTCCCAGCTCTGCCAACGAACATGGCTGCAGAGCTACATGGCTTAACTTTGGATTAGCCACAGTGATGGACTTGTTGTACTTTGAAGTCATCTAATTTGAAAACAAAGCATCTAGTCTTTTCTACATCTGTTCTTTGTCCATACTAAAGGACTGACTCCCTTTATTACGCAATTAGAGATGACGGAAACATGCTCAAACTAAATTCCTACAAAATAAATGCAATTTTGCCAAAACTAGAAGGTTTTGTAGGCTCCACTAAAAATGTCACTGGGAAGATTCCCCAAGATGAATCTGAAATATGGCCAATGGGACAAGGAGAAGAGGAGAGAGAGATCTACGTCCAAAATAATCTCAAGGACACACTCTTATCCTTTAGATAGAGGTACAAGCAACGGCTTTCAACTGCTAAGGCATTGTGGACAAAAAATACCAACTGAGGTGGAAATATTCCTTGAAAATAGGTTTATACTGGAAATTCCATGAAACTGGCAAAATCCTAGTGTTTAACATGGGTGGATTTGTTCAGATAAGAGAGGCAAAGCAGATAGGACTGAGGAAAAGACCTCCCAGCATGAATACGGAAAATTATACAGGGAGTCAGATACCCAGACCTTCTTACAGCCTTGAAATCCGAGGCCCCATGACTTCATATGCTAACTAAGACATAAACCCAGAGCAAAGTCTCTTACTCAAGAACTTCCTTTCATTAGGCCTTATTGATTAAAAATGGCCAGTAGCCAAATGTTATTTCCGGATTAGGCCTGAAGAGGTTCTGGGGGGAAATGGCTGTTGAGTGGACCTCAAAATTTTACCAAAGTGTCACAATCAACAGTGCCCCAATGCACAGTGCTGGTGCCACCTTGTTCACCATTTGAGAATCCTTCACCCACATCTTTCAGACAAGTGCAAAATTCACTCAACTAGTTGTACATTACCTCCTCTTCTGATGCACACAGTGGCAGAAATATTTTTGCTGTTACCTCCAGGAGCTTCCCCAGAGTTGGGAGCGCAACAGGTCTAAACCTGTGGTAAGAGTTTGCTTGTACGAGAGATGAAAACCTCAGCTTCTCCCCCGAGACACGACGTCTTTCAGAGCTGGCTTGTCTCAGGGGAGATCTTTTCTCTTTTTTTTCCTCTCTTTCTTCCCCTTCCCCCCTCCTGCTTTGTCCAGAATCTAAGAGAGCCAAATTCCCTTGAACATGCTAAAAGAAGGCTTGTTGGAGCATCTGCTCTCCATCTGTGGAGCCAGACATATCCCCAGGCAACACTATTAGCAGTGATGGAACTGGAAGGGAACGTGAAGCACTGAAGAAGCATCTGCTGAGAAAGAGGAACCTAGCATATAAAACTACCCATGTTATTTATTGAGCCTCCTTGCCTCTGTCCATTGTTCCCAGTGGACAACCACCATCTCCACAGACTTGGTCAGAAGAAAACTTGCTGTTCTCACTTACTTTCAGGTGACTTAGTGCCTCAGGTGGCCAAATGCTACTAAGTGTTCAGTTAAACAGTGACCAGGAAGCCACAAGAACGTTCAAAAGGCTGAAACCTGGGAAATGCAAAGGGCCCATGGGAGGCCAACAATGCAGAAGCAGTGCTGCAGAGGTGTTTTGGGTAGAAGTGGTGCAGCGGACAGAGGTGGGAAGCTGAGGCCAGAAGGCTTCCACTGCCCATTTTAGGTACAGCTGAGTTCAAATCTCCAAAGAGTCCAAAGAGTATAGAAGAGATTGCTGGAATCAGTCATGAAATCCAACTGCTAAGTGTAGAGACTGTAGGAAGTTGTTCCTTTTGAGGGCATTGCTTGTACATGACCCTGAGAAATACAGTGACATGGTTTAAAGGAAACCATTGCAGAACGAACCCTGCATCAACTGGCCTAAGTTCTAGTTTCAGCTCTGCCACCTATGACTGTGACCACTCCTTTCACCAGACTTAAGTCTCCTCCTGTCCTGGAGCACCTTGTCTATTTAGGTTGAGATTCTTCTGGAGCAAAGACTGTCTGTTACGATGAGGTTTCATAATATCAATATTTTACTCTTGGGGTATGTTAGTAGCAAATTATTTTTTCCAAAACTAGTACAAACTTTGTACCCTGACTAAGCCCTCAGAGTAGACCAGAGAGAGAAAGACCCACACTTGCCATGTAGCCATGATCACCCCTGTCAGATATTCACACTTCGCATTTCCTTTTGTCCGGCAGATTTCCAGATAATGGATTCTTTGTTCAATTTGCTTGGGAGAGAAGGCGGCCTTGATGTTTTATACTTTGCAACTTTCTCACCTCCACACTTTGCAAAATCTCTTCTGCAGTCTGTTGTCTATTGTTTCAATCTTCCCGAAGCAGCCAGGATTATCACAAGGTGAAGCATTGGAAAACCCACACTAGTAAAATGAGTCATTAACAGCCTAGGCCCTCTTTTAAAATAAATCTCTCTATTTACAGGACAAAGCTATCATACTCCTCTCTGTATTTTAAGCTACCGCTAAGAGATGGGGGACCTGATCACCCTTTTGGACCCATGGAGAATGTGAGTCATATTCTGGTTAATGGCTCTTTTTCTCAAGCTATAGAGATTTGTGCTTTCAGCTGTCCCAGTCAGATAGCTTTCTGCGGCTTGTAAACTTCACAGTAGGCATCTCTTGAGCCTTCACTCAGCAACAGGACATAAGTCTGTGCACAGAGTCAAGTATTATTACCAGCAGTGTGTCTTCATAAAAGTTCTTAATGCCCTGCCTCAGAGAAAACATTCTGGCTTTTCCTAACTTAAAACATTCTTCTATTCCATTGGCTGAGCTCCTTAAAATATCACTTAAACTACTTTCTGAATGAACATAAACAGCTTAAGCACCAGTGAAATCAAAGAGACTGAAGCACCCACTTAAATTAAGAATTTGCTTAAATGTTCTGCTGAATTTGTGCTTTTAACAAACCCAAATATTTTGAATTAGAATGTAATAACCACAAAGAGGATGTAGAAAAGCCATGAGTGGCATATGCAGCACTTTCATCTCAATGCAATGATGAGATACCTATCTTTGAAAACAAATACGATATTTTAGGTATTCATTTCTGCAGCATAAGTTTTCTAAAACAGTCTATGGCCTAGACCTTTGACACTACTAAATCAATGGGAATAGAGACTCTGAGACCCTGGGATGAAGTGACTTCAGAGCAAAAGTCCCACTTGCACAATACACATTATCATAACAGCAATACCTCTTTGGAGGGCATGACAGATAATCCTGACCATTATCAGGAGACTCATCCCCGCTTAGCTGATTATCAACATCTCTGATTAAAATCATGCCTGCTCGAAGAAGATTAATAGGGGAGGTTATCTTGTCAGCCTGCTCTGAGATGGTGGAGAAGCCCCTCAGTGACTCTATGGCCCTTCTTTCTTCTTCCAAAGTTTATCTGAATAGAGTCTGATGTTTTGGGGATATGGATTAATACAGTGGGCAAATATCAGTGCAGATGGCATCGATTCCATTTAAGAAAACTAATAACAGATGGAAATGAAGCTCAGTCTTCCAATTCACTGCACAAATGGGGTGGAAGATGTTTGGTGTCAGAAGGATTTGGACACCTGCCACTCTCCTGATTTCCGGTATTTCTATGTGGCCCTTCAGTGACAACAAGTTTTAACTCAAAAAGGTTGCCAGCTATTTTAGAACTGCACCTATTGTGGTTACTTTCACTGCTTCTATTTTACAGTGCTTAGTATGGTCTGAGATAGAGCACTGAATATTTGCATCATCCACAACCTGTATAATTCAAGTGTGTGTCAGAAAACACTTTAACCGAATGAAGTGACACTAGCTTCTTTAATATATGATACCATAGTATTCCCATTTAAACACTGCAGTTCATCATACATCTCTATCTCAACCATTCTCCCAGTAGAAGATCAGAAGATGCAACTGGCTTCTGCTATCAGAGAGGGCAGAATCATATGTTTCTGACAGCTTTATAATAGTGTTTTGTTTGTCCAGCCACAGCAGAGCGTGCAGCTATTAACACTTTACCAAAAAGATAAAGGACTGTATTATGTTGTCTTCCTCCAACCTCTCCCTACCAAAACAACAGCAATCACAATAAAGTCTCTGTGTGAACCCTACTTTAAATAGTAGGTAGAGAGAATGAACTTGTGGAAGAACTCAATAATTACTTTGGTGGATTTTCAAGAAGAAAGTCAATAGAAAATTGGTTCTTTCTTGATACATTCATTCATATTCTTTTGTAGTCAAGAGCTAATAAAAAGAGAAGCACTTATGCTAATTAGTTTTGAGTGGAGAAGAATAGTGTCAATCCCCCTGCTGAAGAGCCCAGAAGTATTTATATCATGAGACCCCTTGGATTTGCAATTGGGGAAACTTTTGCAATAGTCTTCCTCAAGGACACAACCCAGACTCTCTGCTCCTGATTTTTCTTCTTTTTCTGGGGCAGGGGCAGGGACAGGGGAAGGGAGCTGGGCCTTAATAAGAACCTTCTAAAATTAGAATGTACTGTTCCTGAAGACCAAGTTAGTCTGAAGTTGTAAATATTTCCATTAACTTGCTTCAGACTGGTGGGGCAGAAGATGAAGGAACCTTGTTACAGCTTTGAGCAGGAAGACTCCATTTCTGAATTTCCCTTCTGGGACCAGGCAGATCCTAATACTGAGCTCCAAACGCAGTTGGATAACTTCCTATTGGACTGCACCTCCCTGGCAAACCAGTCCTCCCCTTGGTCGTCCTTTACTTGCCAGCCCCTGGTGCCTGATGACCCGCTCTCCCTCCTAGACCTCACCAAAGGAGAGCTCCGGCTGGAGCAGAGTGCTGAACTGGACAGCTCCCCATCCCAGCCAGGGCCCAGCACGCCACCAGCGAGACATCCCCGGCACATCCCACCTCACCCTTACAAGGTCCAAAGGCACGCTGCAAACATCAGGGAGAGGAAGAGGATGCTCAACATCAACTCTGCCTTTGATGAGCTCAGGTGCCATGTACCAACTTTCCCCTATGAAAAGGGCCTCTCCAAAATTGATACGCTCCGGCTGGCCATCGCGTACATAGCTCTGCTCAGTGAGATCCTCCTCTCCGGACACGATCCCAAATCCTACGTGGAGCAGTGCCTCAAGGATGGCTCTCAAGGCCACCTCCAGGCAATCTGGAACACAAGTGGTGAGTGCTTGAGGGGTTTTATTTTTGGGAATCACAGCAATGTTTTGCATTGCCAATAGGAGTGGATCAGCCAAACTGCTTTCGGACATTCAGCTATCACATTCACACATGGCTCTGTCATCTTCAAAAGAGTGTGGCTGAGTGAATGCTTCAATGAAAAAAATGCAAACTTTTCATTTAAAATTTTAACGTCTAATTTACTTAACAAATGAACTTTTTGTGGTCGTAGGAATGATTCCTTTTTTGAAACAAGACTAAAGATTTTGTTTATTCTCAGGATGTGTTTTCAGAGGTTTTTCTAATTCTGTGCAAAGTAGTTGTTTTATAATGCCAGCTGATGAAGCCTCTAGAGATTTTCTTTAGTTTTAGCATGTACCTGACTGAGAAAATTCCTAGCTTTTAGCACAAACATAATCCAATTTCTTAAATGTGGGCACGTGTTGAACATGTTGCTCAGAGATGTTACAGTTCAGCATTGAGAATCAGGCTACAGAAGCTATTGCATTCAAATTTCAGATTTATTTCAAAGTATACGAGAGCAAATGTGTATTTGCAATTTACATTTTTATATTATTAGTTATATTTTAAAGTGGAGGATTGTTAATTCTGTTTTCTGTTTCACTTGTAAATAATTCTGATTTATGTAGGTTTGAACTTTGGGTTTCTTTCCAGCAGACTAAGTCTCTGCATCAGTCCAATATATAGTGAAGATGGGAAATTTCCCAAGTGCCCAAGTAACACGGGACCTCAAGTTTCAGATAGAAAATGGCAGATCTTTAAAAGGCTTGTGCACCACTTAGCAGTGCAGGGAGGAGCAGAGCGGGATTGTCAGTAGTCCCCTGGCACTTCTTTGCACTGTTAGGTACTTAAAACCTTTTCTAAATCTGCCCTTTTGCAGTTTACGTTCCTTTGGATTTTATCAGTTTTGGAAGTCTATCAGTGAAGCATAAGTAGAGAAAAGTCACTGCAAAAGAAAATTCCCCTTTCATTTTGCAGAACATTGTCAAAGGGACAGAGTCTGCAGGGAAAAAACAATCAGTTTACTTTAAAGGAAAAGTTAATTAAGTCTTTTTCTCCTTTCCTATTTTTTTCCATCAGCTACACAACTGGGAAAATGAGTCCTGCTCTACCACTGATCACACCTCTCTTGCGTACAGAGAACAATTGTATTTTACTTTTCAGCTGTCTCCACCTTTAATGAATAACCAAGTTTTAGAACAACAGAAATGGCTCTCATAGGTATCACCTCTTTTCAGGTTTCAAGTTGACTAATATTTCTGAAGAGTTCCACTTAGAAAGAACTAAATGAATGAGGGTGCTTTTCTGGAGAGGCTGAATAGTTGATACGTTAAACTCTAATTTAAATGTATTTAAATTAGTGTAATATGTCTTTATTTTGTTTTCCTTTCTGCCTTCTGTTCTGTGCAGATCTGACAGCCCGCCTGTCCTGGGTAAAGTGGGATTAAGAGGTACCCAAAAGAAAGAAGAGAGATATTTAAAGGCAGCATATTGTGAAACCTGATGACAAAACTGCTGGGTACCGGCTGTTAAATTCTCAGTACTGCAAGCAAAAACATGGCACTTAAAACTTCATTTACTGGCACTGCTCACTTACTCTCTGCACACCCAGCCTCTTTCATTAATTCATTGCTGATTAGGGCCTTCTGCTTCTCTCTTTTTCCTAGTATCTCACACATTCATAGCCTGCTCTTGCATGAAAATCAATAACCAGATTAAAAATAAACGCCATTACAATTGTAACAACAACTTTTTGAGCAACAAGTTTTGAGCATCCTGATCCACTGAGATGAATGAGAATAGAGCGTCCAAAGCTTGTTTCCGATGCAGCAAAAAAAAAACTTATGCATGATCACAAGAAAAAAACTAAGCGCTGTCACACTAATTGCTTGGCTTAAGACTTCCAAGGCAATAACTGTAAAAGTCACCAGTGATTTAGAACACAGACCATGAAAGGTCTGATTTTCACAAGGTGAGACACAGGTCTTTCTGTCTGTCTCCCTCCAAAGTTTCTCAGGCCGAGCTCCCAGTAGGACAGCCTTTTCAAGATCCGAGTCCAAAGTGTTTGGGCTACAAGCATCAAAAGGCCAATTACTGCTAGTACCTGGGTACCATCTCCTTGAAGCTCCTTTCATACCTCAGCCTAAATTTTCATGCAAAGATAGTAGCTTGCTTTTGACGTTTTTACAATAATGTTGCTCCCTTCTGGTTTGAGAGTTTGAGGAAGAGCCAGTGACGCGATGTTGCTCCAGCAACAGTCAGGAAGGCTTTGCTAAAACTGTACAACACAAAATGCCCCACGCATTCCCCTCAAAACAGACAGGCAAGGCTATATGCTCGCATTTGGTAAATGTTTACCAGATAGTGGTTTCCAAAGCATAACTATCCTATTCTGCAGCCCAGGGTATTAAGGATTTTCATATTACCAAAAATAAAATCACAAAGAAAAGCCTAGAGCTGTTTCTTGATTTTGCATGATAGCTCTCCCATACGTTACCTGAGCATGCACTAAAGCTAACATTACATTTATCTGTTACCTGCATTTCCCCACCCTTTCAGTCCCATATTGCAAAGGCTTTAAATCAATTTGGGGTGTAAAGGAGCACCATCATACACCTCACGCATTTCTACAATGCCCTGCTAGCATACTTTGAGATCTGAAACTGTTCTGCCTTGATGTACTTTATCACAGTATTTCTTAACAGGTAAAATGTTACTGCTAGATAAAAGAAAATGTATTTATTTTTAATGTACTGATTAGTTCTCCTAATAATTTTGATCTCTACTAGGAAAATCATATCAGCAACTGGGGTTTGGCTCTGGCACAACTCTGATAGTTTTTGGAGGATCAAGGATGTACACAGGCATTTGAGGGGAAGTTGGAAGGAACTTTTTCTTTTCAGTTTTCCTGCCAGAATAAAAGGGGGAACGCAACATTATATTTCAATTAACTTAGAATAAAACATTTCATTGCAAACTTTTCACCCTCTCTGCTTTTCCACTCACTTAAGACATTTGGACAAATTTCTACAGGAAACAGTGCCTGAAAAAGTGAAAATTCTAACAGCAATAAAAATATCTGAAAATGCAGAATTTTACTTTTACCTACTTCTCCATTTGTCTTGGCTTAAGTTTTTTTTAATTTTACTTGAATACGCGAAACATTTCAACCAACAAGAATCTCTATTTCTCTTTTAAAATATGAGATCAATAATGCTTCCAAATATGTCCCTCCCTTTTGCTGGAAGGTCAGCCTTGTCCTGCAAGCACAGAGTTAGCTGGGAGATCAGGGCACATGAGCAAGGTTCCCGTTTCTATCATATCTGCATGACTTGGAGCACGTCACTGATATACTGATCCGCTCTCCTGTTGCTCCTTTGTTTGCCTAACACTTTCTCCAACCAACGAATGCCTTATTGTGTGGTTGGGCAATGCCTAGCACACTAGGACCCACTGGGGACCTCCAGCTGGACTGAAGTGCTAATAACGTTTAAGCTACCTGTATTTTACCTGCAGTGGTAAAGCGCTCTGGGTGAGGCTGCACAATCTGTGTATTGTATCAGTGCAGCACTTCTGGTGCTTTGCTTGACCTTTTGGATGTGAGGCCATCCCCGTTGTGTCCCAGCAAGACTTAGGTCTATGTGATTACCTTACTTCAACTCACCTGGCAGTCTGAGCTTGCAAGGACTCAGCCATGAAGAAGGTCAGAGGCACATTAGAGCGCTAGTGACTCAGCTACCCTTTCACATGAAAGCTACATGAGGTGATTGACCAGCCCACATACATTGAGAGGCCCTACACAAGACCAGGAGAATAAGTGACAGGCATGGGGTGACAAAACCAGAGGATAAATCCTCTGTGAAACTTAATATCATCCACTCAACACTCTCTCTGGGAAACAGACAGCAAGTACATGCTACAGCAACATAACTGGCAGTAATGTGGGACCCCAGTGAACTTCTCTGCCAGGAGAGGGCTTTGGGAGGGTGTTTGATCTCCACATTGTCCTCCTCCTGGCCTACAGCTACTGAGGAATGTCCTCTGCGCTCATGCTAAACAACCAGAAAAACAATACAATCCAAGCTGGCCTGTCAGTGAAATTGAGCCAGGAGACAGCTTTTCCTAGGAGAGCGCACACTGTGAGAACCAGAGCAGGCCATCGCTCTGATAGAGACTGGCCTAGATCTTTACCTCAGGAAGTATGCTTTTATAAGACTGCAAACTCAACCTCTCAACCTTAAATAGGAGGAAAATAAAAAGAGCCTATCTCCATCTCTTCCTGTCATAGCTCGTTGCAATCTTTCAAATTTACAGGACAGCACACTTGTGAAACAAACTTTGCTTTTTTACCCAATGAGCTCATAAAAATAAATAAGAGGCTAGTACCTTCTCTATAGACTAGCCTAAACTGTTAATTCTCCAGTTACTCACTGATTTGCTAATTTGATAATTACTAATTCATGTGCTTATGAGCAAAATAGTTACCTAATCAACAGTGAAAGTGCTCATCCTTCCTCCTCCATCATGATGCAGGCATCCCCTGAACTGCACAGGGGAGCACAAGAGCCTCGCAGTCCAGCTGCTGGTGGATCCACTTTAAAAGCTGTTTGGGTGAGCTGATGCATTTGTACTTTCTAGCTAGGAAGTTTGGTCTATACCATCCCTATTCGTTGTTCCAGTTACTGGGTAAGAATTTACTTAATTCTAACGAGTTTTGGTCTTATCAGATGTTAAGAAGTGTTATTGTCAGGTGTTATTTATAAAACTGCAAGGGGAGCAGATCTCATTCTTTTTTGGTCTTTAGTATCTGCTGTACGTGTTGCTCTTGTTTTAGTCTAAGAGCGCTCCTCCCAGGATGCATCAGGTCTTAGCATAAGCTGTGTGCTAAGCCTAAAGCTTGAGCAGGAGTTCAGTGAAAAGTCACACTTTCCAGAGGGACTGCCTGGCCCCAGCACCCTGTGTAAAGGAGCATAGCACACACCTAAGAGCAAGCCCCTCCAGCACTCTCCATCCTTCCCACCTGCTCTGGCAACAGTGGTCCTCTGGGCATATGAGCATTACTGAACACACAGGTTGGCAGCGATGGGTGGTCCAGGATGGCTTGATCTTTGAGTCCAGGGAGCCAAACCATTTGCATGGCACCTAAAGGAAATGAAATCACCCAGCCCCTTGCCTAAGCGTCCCTCCTCTTGGCCCTCTAGCACACATAGGATCTGCTGTTGTATTGCTCTCTCCCTTGCGGGGTTAAGGCAAGCTCTATCTCTCAAGCAAGCTGATCACTGGGACCACAGCCATCCTCCAAGGGCTTAGAAACCCCTGTCACAGGCTCAGGTACATGCTTAGAGACTGCAGGACCCATGTTCTCACTGCAATGTGGAAAAGCAGGAATAGCCACATGTCCTTTTTCCAAAGCCAGACAAACCCTTCAATGGCAGGGCAAAGATAACAGGCAGTCTGGGTGCCATAGCCCCCAGTGCCCTTATCCAAAGGAAGAGGTTTCAGCAGCCCAAGCCCTGATATCCACTCATCTCCTCATTCTAGTTGCCAGCCTGAAGGTCTGCATCAAGGGAACATGCGAAAGCCTGCATGTCGCCTTCTCCCAGGCTGGCTTTACTACCCTGCATCTGTGAAAATGGCACCATCTGGAAGAGGAGGGCAGAACTAAGCCTGCTATTTAGAAAGCATCAGAGTAGATCCAACAGGACTGTGTTTGAGTTCTCATCTGGATGTATATTTCTCCATCGGAGGTAACATTATTCTAAGGTCCTTACTGATGGCAACAGGGACAGGTGACTCCTCCCTCCAGAAGGCTTTCAGAGAGGACTGTAGCAGATCCCACTGGTTGCACACCATAGTCAGTAGGCACTCATAACAACCTCTCTGGGTGTTGTCATACCTGGTGGTGGAATAAACCCTACTTGGGAGCACATCTGCCCTGCAAGGTCCTTCACACTGAATAATTTTAGGTGCCCCAAATCCCTGGCTCCAGATTTCTCCCAATGCAATAGTATCCCACCAGACTATGTATTGCTTTTCTTTTCAGTATGGCACTCAGAGGTCCAGGGTGGATACAAGATAATAATGCCCTGTTATGAAACAAACATTTGCTGCAGGCACCTGGATGGGAGCAGAAATCTCTTTGCTTCAGTCCAAAAACCCTGACAAATAGTTCCTCTGAAGCAAACTGGGTGTGTGAAGTAGCATCAGGAAAGCATGCTCATATAAAGGTCAGGCAGTCTCTCAGGTTCAGGAACTACTTGGCTGTGGATGGACAACTAATCTGGGGAGTGCATAAGCACCAAAGGTGTCCTAGCAATAAAAGCAAGAAGAAGTGTCCTGGAACAAAGATTTTCCTCAGTGTGGGAACTCCAGCTGAGACTAGCTCTAGGTGTTGGCTAAACTGATTTCAGAGCTGAAGTCTTCCTTTGAGATGCAGACTCACATTGCT